TCTTGTGACAAATTGGTGATAGCTTTAGCTACGAAATTTTTACAGTTGGCTTATTAGATTATTATGTACTTGCTGTAAATTTTGTAGTCCTAGAGTAGGTTGATAAATAGAGTAGTTATTACTCTTGTTTTTATCATATATAGAGTAAATCGGTATTAGGTGTAAGAATATCTTTAATTGCTATGATAATGTATGTCATGCTTCATACTTGTTAGTGGTAATAGTAGGTAACTTGGTACCTTAGCCGGTAGGACTAGCTTAGTAACTTGATAGATGTATTTTATTTTAAGAGCTGCTGTTGTCATATTATTAAGTGTTGTATCATCATTTCTTGCATGTAGATCACGAGTTGGTAGAGTTCGTGCCCGTAGATGAACAGGATTATAAAGAGGTCATTGAGAAGTACGAGGAGGAGATCCTCGTGCAGGAGGAAGCCCCAGAGCCTTTTGGTGCTGACTTTGCTGACCCACCGCCTGCCCAAGGCAAGCCCCGGTGCATAACCCCTATTTTAATTATCACTGAATATATATATATATATATGCATTTACGTTACAGACATTTTATGGAAACTACATGCATAAATATATTTACCTATGAGTCTTACTAGTATAGGTCGAGTAGCTGTTATGCTCAGGATTTCGGTAGCGCGAGTAACCTGCCGTTACTCGTAATAGGTGATAATTATGATCACTCATGATAAAATGGTGCAAAGGAAAAGTGATGACTGGGCAGGGATATGGTTTGGGTATTGGTGAGTGTAAGAGGTTGTGTCCTGCGACCAACAGGGCATAGCTTGGATATACTTTTTTCCTGTCTATGTCGGTTAAGGACCGGTCATTGCATAAGGCTCTAGGCAAGTCACAGATTTATTATGCCGAGCACATACTTGGGTATGGGCGTAGGGAAGACTCGTTGCTCTCTTGTCGTGAATCTGGTTCTTTTTGGACTGACTGATTGGAGGCGGGGATGGTGGAGGTCATTGCACCGCACTGAGTCTAGGACTCAGGAGTGGGGGCTTGGAGTCTTAGTTTGGACGGGGACCTGGACACCCAGGACAGGAGGGTGATGGGTTAGTCTTGCTTGTGCCTAGGGTACAGGCGGGGTGTGTGTTTTCAGGGTACCCAGCTAGGGGCATTGATTCGCAAATCACCGGCGTTCCGGTACGGCTTGTCTACGGTTTAACATCGTAGTAAGAACTGAAAGATGGAAGGTGATGAAATGGAACTGATTGCTTAACTCTTGCTTGAAAGTAGAACATGTGCTTACATAGAATGGCTAGATAATAAATTAATACGGCTATTAATAATAACATCAATAAGGACTCACTATTAGTATTGCTTTCTACAAAAAAGGAAACCAGCAAACCATAAAGCTTATCATATTCCTTAGAGTCGGAAAATTATTCCCACTAGTCGGATAAGTCTTGCGAGTAAGTTGTGTACTCAGGGTTTATTTACCCCTGTTGCAAGTAATGTTTGAAGAGTACCATTGTGTGGAGGATTCTTCTGGTGGGCACATACGGATCCTCGTTCCTTATCGCTAGATGTTTATTTTTAAATTCCGCTATTTAATATTCCACACTCTGACTTTGGAAATGTAATAATATACCTTTTATGAACTCTAGATGTATGAAATGCATTAAGTATTGTAACTCGTTCTCATTATTGGATCATTGGGGAAAAATGTGGATCTTTCGAGTTCTCCCTTGGGGTGTGCCTGACGGATATCGCTCGTTGTAGCTTACTTTCGGGGTGCTTAGTATCTAGTGGAAGACAAGCGTCTCTATAAGTGTGTTATTTCAGGTGGTTCTGTCACACATAGGCCTTAGGGTTTAAGAGTTTTGATTGTTAGAAGTTTGCTGCCCTAATTATTTGCTCTCAGAACATATTTGATTGACTGATTTGTTTGACCTAGATAACTGTTGAATCACCTTGAGAGTACTAAAAGAAAGTTGTAGACAATTTCATAAGCTTTCTAGAATGTCCACAACCATATGATTTTGATGTATATAACTCCAGTTATGGTTAAATAAGTAGCTATTGTTTGGTAGTTCGGTAAATAAATTGTAGAAGTGTTTGCTTAAGTAATAGAGAAAAGATATGCACCTGCTCTGTAGAATAGGATGCACTTGTTATTACTTTGGCACCATGCTGTTGAAAATACTTACAAGGATGCATTCATCATGTTTTATCATATTATACGTGTCATCATACATGCATTCGTGATATCTTATGCCATATTCATACATATAGGATCGACCGAGAAGATAACGTTGCTAGAATTCAACGAAGAAGAGGAAGGGGATCAGCAGGAGAATCCTCAAGCCGCAGCTCTCAAAGAAGAGGAGCAGACTCCAAAAGAGCTCCCGGAGCACCCTGATCACCACCCCACCTCTTTTCTGAAAGGCAAGCCCCAGAGCATTCTAAGTCTCCTAGTGTTTTATCAAATACTACTTGAGTCCTTTATGATTAATGCATTGGTTATAAGAGTTGATTGGAAACACTTGATGCATAGAACTACCTTGTCTAGATATATACACCTTTAACCATATGTAGGTCTAGGATCGAATATATGCTTAGCCATGCTTAGACCGGTAGAAGTCGAGTGATTTCCTGTCACATGTGAGATATAGGTGGATACCAAAGCACGGTTGGCTATATTTTCTATCGTGGAAAAGAACCATGGGGTAATGTAAATGGAGTCCGGGCGGAGTCTATGTGTGGGTTGACTCATGTGATTCCGTCTGTGCCGATTAAGAACCGTACTATTGTTGGCACTTCTGATAAGATTGAACGCATGCCTATCACTTAGCTGGCCGGATAACTCGTTCCAACCATGAAGCCGAGTAGCTCAACTCAAGCCGAGCCCTGCTCTGTAAGAGTGCGCACTCTAGATGGTAGTAAGGATGTGCGGGGAGCCAGACGTGAGTCCAAGGGCAGGCCGGGCCTGAATGTCCTGGCAGCTGGTTGTCCCTGATTGTGCGGCACTGGGCGAACCCGCAAAATATGGACTTGAGTTGTACCAAAGGTGACCTAAGGCGACTAATGATCTAGTCTGTCTGGGTTTGTGTTAGGAATAAATTCCCAGCTGGTTGAAATCGATTCGAATCGCCGTCTCTTAGGGATAGTGAGAAACTTGGCTAGTCCTAACATCGTAGTAATTGTGCTATGGAATGTGATGGTTCGGATAAACATAGAATTACTACACCTGCTATGGTTACTATTGTATGCTCTTAAAATGATATACCACATATTTGGCATAGGATAGTTGCTAAACTAGAGATGAATAGCTATAATTAACTTGATGACCGAAGTATAGTTGTATAATTGAGTTAATCGTTTTTTATGCAAAATGTTGTCAAGCTACCTCCACTTATACAGCCTTGCATAATCCTTGGAGTCATTTTATTTTAGGTTTATGACGGGTAAGTCTAGCTGAGTACCTTCTCGTACTTAGGGTTTTATTCCCATTGTTGCAGATGGTACCGTCTATCACGGATATTGCAAGAATTGCTTCTATCCCGCCGTGGATGAGGAGTGAGCCTTGGGCAGACAACTTTAATAACCCTTCTATATGCTTTTGTGGATGGTGATCATGTGTTGGCACTGTATTTGAACTATGTGACAAATGTTAGTTTCGAACTTAATTTGCTTTCGCTACTATCTATCAAACTTGGTTTGTAATAACTCTATTTCGTACTCTGATGAAAGAACTGTATCTGTGAACTTTATGTAATATGTGACATGTATGTTGAATCATATACGATCTTGATTGTATGTGGATCGTTTATCGAGACCCGTCGTGGTACTCGATAGACTACCGGGTTTATATGGGCTCAAATATGACAGTGCGACCTCTTGCGGGTTGCCATTATACTTGTCCTATTATAAATTGATCGGTTCTGCGACATGCATGGCTTTCCCAACACTTACCATCGCGCAGCCAATGGCAGCACTACTCCAGGTAAAGGATTGGTGGACGAAGATGGCCAGTCAACAAGGCTTCCTGCTAAAGGGCTTTCTCTCTCTGAGCGTAACGCGTGATTTTTTTAAAAACAACACTTGTCAATCCCTTCACTGCAAACCAAAATCAAGGAGGAGGCTCGCACCTGGTGCACTGTAGGACAGTAGGAGCGAAGCACCTTGCTGAGATCTTGCGATTGAGAGTTCGCATTTGGTGTGTTTCTTCTCAATGCCAACCATTGGATCAAAAGTGTGTTTGTTCCCAATGCCTCAAGATCATCTCCCATGGATTGAAGGGCCCACAAAGTGGACAACCAAAGTGACAAAGTGGCCCCACTAAAAGAAACCCACACTAGAAGAAAAGGAGAAGCACCCCACCTTCGCGGTTGGCCCCACTTGTCATAGGGGGGGTCAGCCGACCCCCTAGATGGTCGGGCGACCACCCCACCTTCTCCACCGCCTTCTCATGTAAACAAACACAACATTAGAAGATCTCGACCATGCATTTTAAGGCGGTTTGGTCCAAGGATGGAGGATAGAGAGCACATGGATCCATGAGCCCACACTAAAGTGCTATAAATACCCCTTTCTCTCACTCTCCAGTCATGACCACAGCGGAGGATCTACTCTCACTTAGATATAAGAAGCCCTGCTCTAATAGTAGTAGCAGTACAAATTAGGAAGAGAGTGAGGGAAGTGTGTAGAGAGGCCTGGATCTATCGGTGTCTTCTCCAAGCTATACCTCGACGGATGCGCTCTTGTTTATACACATGAAAAGAAAATGATATTTTGGTGTTCTAAAAAGTAAAAACACATCTAAAAAGCTTAGTATTTGTCATGATGCATGATAGCAAAAAAAAAAAGATTCAGATAATGTACCTGCCCTAATTTTGTATTAGGAACCCTAAATTATTTCTAAATCCGAGGCTTCTCTACTTTTTTTCTTCTCTAATTAACCCTTAACACCAACTAAAGGTAATGGTTTGGAAACCAAATCTTATTTTGGCCAAACTGATTCATAATTAAACCTCAGCCTACATGGACCACTTCGCCGAGACCGAGGGGAAGATGGTGCACGGCCCGCTGACATACTGCCCGAGCATCGCCGAGGAGATCGAGGGCAAGATGGAGCAGGACCCGCTGATGTACAGCTCGCGCAGCGTTGCGAGGGCCACAGCAACCAGCATCCCTATTGACGACTTATAGAGCCCTTGGCGTGATAATAAATAGTCTGTGATTACTTCCTGAGGATTCATGAGCATGTGTTGATCCTTTTTCATGGAATAATAAAACATAAAAAACAAATCCTTCTAGTCTTAGTTCAGTTAGCCAAATAAACAAGAAGTCTACCTATTTGGTTAACAACACTAGCACTAACAAGTTATGCCATTTTTTATATTGTGGACGACCGAATGGTCACCAACACAACTCTTTATACCATGCTACCTATATAATTATGTTGTTTTTTCTATTTTTTTTCATATTGGAATGTGATGTATAAATCAATACTAAAACTAGTTCAATATTTACAAGCATGTATAGAAGCTGCACCAAGTGTTATTGCCTCGACACGTTTTCTAAAGTTCCAGTAGAATAGGGTTAGCTCCAAGTGTTTGCCCCTCAATATTACTATTTTTTATTTTTGCTAAATGCCTTTTTAATTTGTGTCCTTATTGTAGAACCAAACAAAAACAAGGGTTAGCTCCAAGTGTTTGCCTCTCAAGTTTATCTTTATTTTCCCTTTTTACTAAATGTATTTTTAATTTGTATCCCTATTGTAGAAGTAAACCAAAACAAGAGCCACTTAAACTTGTTGCCTCTTTCATTTTTAGTTTATATCTTAGATAGATGGTAATTTCTCTTCAACCGGTTGTAACTGTGATTAGTGCTCTGTCAACTTATGTTGTGAACTATAAAATCAATTGTATGTTTTGTGATGTTTGCAGGGGCACATCCTTCCAAGAGAGATCATGGGGCTCTCAACTTTTACCTTGTCCTTGTGGCTTCTTATGTTTCTGTACGTGTCGACAGTGGATCGAATCCTTTGCTCGCCTGGCTTGTTCTAGGCAACACTGCACAACTTGGTATTCCTCGACCTAGTAGGGGCCAATAGAGCTAAAAAAGTGTGTGGGAAGACGTTGGTGCTTGACGTGGGTACAATAGCAAAGATCAAGTCCGGAGACATCAAAGTAATTAGTTTATTCTTTTGAGTTTATGTTGTTGTCATTATATAACTATCATAATCGCATAGCTCATACTATTGTACTTATGGCATATTTCCACCCGTCCGAGCCATTTCCTAAAACCGTGGTTCTTTGACTGTTTATGACGGTACGACACGACGAGAAGGATCCAATTCCTCCAATTAGTTCTTCTAGACCTGTTAGACGAGCACCACGCGGCACCTCCGGTTGCAATGCTTCGTCCGTCCCTTTAATCCCTGCTGGCGTCCTGGGCACCTGGCTGCTGCTGTAGAAGGTCAAGAAGTCACCGGCACAACTCTGATCCCTGCCGGCATCCTAGGCACCTGGCTGCTACTGCTGCAAAAGGTCAAGCAGTCGTCGGCACAACTTGACTCGACGCCGCTGCTCCCCATCGACGGCATCGCCGGTTGAGTCGGCTCTGGTGGCGGCGGCGAAGGATGTAGCCTGGGAGCGTTTCCTTGTGGCTTGTGTTGTGGGGCGTCGTCGGCGATGCTGCTGTAGAGCTGTGTGTACAGGTCATCGGCGATGGAGCCTAGGAACAGCTCCACGAGGTCATCGTCTATGCTCCACAAGATGTACATCTCCACGGGGTCGTCATCCATGCAAGCGGCGCCACCTTCGATCTGCCATGTGCTGTCGTAGGTGAGAAAAGGGCACCGCAAATATGAAACTATCGCAAACCATCTCCAAAGTCCAAACTGAACTAGCCCATTGTAGCTACTGCCCCAAACTGAACCAACCTGTTAGAGTTTTCAACATATTTCCATCCAAACCATGTTAGCCTGGATAGAAACCCAATCCAATAAATTTAACACGGTTTTGGCCCAAACCGTTACTAGGTTTAACACCAACACATGAATCCTCTATAAGAGGTAAGACACCACCACCGCTAGTTAGAGCAGCACTCCGAGCATACAGACACACCACAAAATTATAGTGCACGCAAAAATTCTTCTCTAATTATAACTCTATGGGACATCAAGCATGCTTGTTTAGCTGATATACTCGTCTTCATGTATTACATTGGTGTAAAATCAACTATTGCTAATGAAACAAGCCAAAGCTAGATCCAAATAAACTAAATAAAAAGATAACCAACTATTTGAAGCATTCTAAGAAGGCAAAATGCGGAATAACTCTATGAGGCCGCTCTAATAGTATGGACAAACATTGGTGCACGGCAAATTTTATATTGAGTCATACAATTTTAGTTGCTCTAAGAGAAAGCGGTATCGTTTTAAATCAATTGCAATAATATAGCCTAATTAACTAATTACTGAAATTCTAGAAAACAAATACACGCAGGATAATATTTTAAACATGTATTGGTACAATTTTGATTAGCACGCAACATAGAGATGGCTGGAACGCGTCATCACTAAATCTTGTTTGGCTGCAATAGTATCTATCTCAATCCCAACACATCTTAAACTAAAGTGTCTTGGTGAATTAGGGTGGAAAATTCATAAAGGGCATTGGGAGGGACAATCATAGCCGATCTGAGTTGGCTGGGCTGTATGAAGTAAATGGAGCTATCATGGCCATGACAATGTTGAGGTCACACTTGTGGCGAGTTGCAAGTTGAAACTTATTTTCGCTTTTTTTTTCGAACACATAAAAGATCTGCATGCCATCGTATAGAGACACACGCACACAAAGGATGGTACAAATCCTATAGTGTCGCATAAAAGAAGAGAAAATCACCTACGCCCACACACACTAGCACCGAAGCATTATAGAGACATGCGCACCAAGAGTAACGACTAGGAAAGATTGCTCTCAATCCCTGCGCGCTAGCTAAGCTCCACATGCCTGCCTCCTCTAAGATCTGCCTTGTGACCACATTCACTTGTGGGTCGCTCGCCATTGAAGACACACACATTCATGTGCTTCCAAATAAGACATGCTATAAGAATAACCACGGAGTTGAAGCTCTTTCGTCTTGGCCTGTTCAGCTATCTTGTTGTCTGCCACCACCAATCTCTGAACGCCAAATGTGGGGTCGATGGCTCTAGGCCGTAGAAACCAAAGACATCAGCCTTGTAAATACACCATCTCTTCGTTCCAAATTATAAGAATCTTTGGGTTTTTTTAGATATATAGCTTTTGCTATGCACCTAGGGCGCCCGCAATGATATGAGCTAGTTATTAGCTCTAAGACATCCTCTTCAATGATACTAACTTTTAGGGTATAGCTCATAAGATGAATAGCCCAATATGACATCCTCATACAATATTGAAACATGTGTATGAGTTAGTTTTCTCTCTCTTATATTAAAATATGAAACAATGTTTTGAGCTAGCTCATAAGTCGCCATTGGAGTTGCCTTTTGATACACATTGTCTAAATGTATATTAAAAACCATGAAAAAAATCTCGCGCTATATAATTTAGCGGCGGCCACTCCTGGGAGCTATGCGCCGCTATAGCGCCGCTATAGCCGCGCTATAGCGCCGCAGCGTGAGATAGCTGCTCACGCTATATCGCCGCTATAGCGCGCTATTTATATACAGCCAGGCAAAAAAATAATAAACAGTCCAAACAGGCAACATATTCATACTTTCATACTTCCATACAGTCTAAACATCCATAAGGTTCAAATATTCAGTAGCTAACATGAAACAACAATAACGGAGGGTACTCTGGATTAGGGTTAGAGGGCTCAAGATGGGCCTAAATCTGACTCTGCCTCGTTTTTTTTTTGTCAGCACATGAAACAGCAATAACGGCGATTTAGCGCGCTATGGCGCTAAAGCGGCAATAGCGCGTATAGCGTGAAAATGCAAGATGTCGTCGCGGCGAGCTATCTGGGACGCTATTAGCGCGCTATAGCGGCAAAATAGCGCGCTATTTTTTTTGTGGATTAAAAATAATATATTTAGAAAAATCAAAATGTCTTATAATTTAAACATGATAAATAAGTGGTGAATAGTCGCTTCCTCTTACAATGTTTTTTTTGAAACATGGAAATTCCATTACTCAATAACTGGGGCCAAATTCGTTTCAAAAAAAAAAATCGTTTCAAAAAATAACTGGTGCCAAATTGTTGGCCAACAGTTCATAGATACAAATTGGGATACTATCAAAGACAAGAAGCATTGTTCGAACTCAACTTATACCCTAGAGCCGCCAAATCATGGGCAACTAGATTACAAGACCGAGGATTATGAGCTACTACCCATAAATTGAAGTTACATCCCAACAAGTCTTTAAGTTCCGAAACCAATCCGCTAGCCGAACGTCGATCATCAGCATCAGAAGACAGGGCTGCCTGGACCACCATCGTCGCATCCGTCTCTAGTATGATCCTTTGGAAACCGAGGTCAGCTGCTCTCTGCAATGCCTGCAATCAAGCAATGAGCTCCGCATGAAATGGTTCCAGCACTCTTCCCAATTTGCCAAAGCCTGTAGAGACCACTTCCCCTTCAGAGCTGCGGATGACAAAGCCCCAACCTCTCCGGATCGTTCCTCCTGCTGGAAAGCCCCATCACAATTTATTTTCGCAACTGTCTTGGGGTGGCTTTCTCCATTTTTTCTTCCGTCGAGTTGATGACACCTCTTGCCGTTTCAGCGTCGACTCTGCCTAAGTTCGGACTAACTGCGCTAAGCTAGCAGCACTTCTTGGTAGCTCCCCTTCACGTACAGCAGGATGGCCACTTGGGTCTGTAGTTTTCATGTGAGTTTCAGTTTCAGAATCTCACCGATCGCTTCCCTGGGCGAAAGGATTGTTGTTAGTTTTTGCCTTATGTGGCGCACAATGGACAATGTTGGTGTGCGGAAGACCACGACTCGCGAGCCGGTAAAAACATACCCGCTCGATAATTTTGACTCCATTCAATGCATTTTACACAGATACCAAAATATATTTTAATCGGGGAAAAAAAGGCACACACCGAACACACTGCACCCACCACGAACACAGGGCAGTCTGAGCAACCGGCACCGGTCTATGCACCGAGTCCACAAGTCTCCCCCACCTCGAACCCACCGATCATCGCCGTCGCCGTCGCCGTCGCCGTCGCCGTACCCTTCTAAAAATACCTCCCGATCTCCGACGAGTTGTCGAACTATGGCTTCTCCCGCGCACCCCGCGCCCCACCGCCCGCGCCTCCGCTTCCGGCGGCCTCTTCGCGCGCAGCCGCCGCCACCGAGGCTGCCTACTCCCTCTTTCTACTCCCGCCGTCCCTCCGCACCCCAGGTGAAGTCCCAGATCCCTCGCCGCCTTCTTCCTCCCCCCGGTAGAGTTCTCCTCGTAATTGTCGCCTTCCTGGCTTTCGTAGAGATGCTTGCGTGAATGCGCGAAGTCAAGTGATCTCCGATTTTTCGCCCTGTTTCACGCGTCAGCAGCATTTTTGCGCGAATTCGCGTGGTTCGATTCGATGCCGTTTTATCGGGAAATTCGCTCGAAATGGTCAGTTTTTTTTTTTTGTAGCAAAAAAAAAAAACTAATGTTCTGCGTAGGTACCTGCATGGACATTACTCAGCTTCTGCCGTTGTGCGTGGGGTAGGATTTGGGACCTTTGTGATATGAGTTGATCGGTTGTATATTTACTTTATATAAGCCAATGTTTGTCCCTATTAGCTTTTTGCTTCGCCAAAGGGGAACGTTTGAAGTTCTGCAATTAGTCTCAATCGCCACTCTTATGCAGGTATCCCAATTAAGAACCATCGCGTCAAGACCTTCAAGGAGGCGTCATGCCGTTCAAATTGTCACGGCATTTGATGATGTACTGTGATGCCTCTCCACTTTTATTAACAATATTTCACTATGTAGTAGCTTGTATTATGATTTATATTTGACAGTGATTTGGTGCAGGATCCTGGGGATTTCTCGCTGGCGCATGATGATGGGGACGAGCAGTTTGGTGTTGCTCCATATTCAAGTGAGAGTGAATGGAGTGATGATGATGTTGTTGTATTGACCGCATTCACGGATGTTGAGTTGCCGATGACAGTCAAGAGCCGGGCTGAGGGCGCACTAACTATAGCTGCCCATAGGCTCGCCACAATTGACAAGGGGCATAAGAAGAGTAGGTAAGAGTGCTAAGACAATTAGCTTTCCATGTTTCGAAAAACAATTAGCTTTCCAGACAATCCTAAAATCTAGTGGTTGAGGACATGAGGTGTGTATTATAGTTTTCCTTCTTTTCTGTATTGGAAAAGGGGCTGTAGAATAGCAGTTTTGCATATTTTGCTTGGCAGTGCAAGAGGCATATGTGCAATAATTCAGGTGCTTATATGGACAAAGTAATGTACCAAAATAGGAATATGGCTATTTGTTAATTTTTTATGGGACGCATAGCAATTATTGAACTATCCTGGGATGTGGTATGTGCTTCAGAATATAAAGTACTACTGTCCTACTAGTAGTAGTAGTACAATAAGAGCGTGTATGCTTCTATCTTCCAGGTTTAATACTATATCTCAAGGGAATGTTGCAATTCTTGTTTGTCGTGGTAAATGAAACAGAAAGTATGCCATACTACTAATATGGACAGATAAGCTTTTTCCATCTGATTTAATTAGGTTCTAACTAAGTTCTTTACATCAATTCCCAGAACTCAACAAGGGCTGATGAATAATGTTGGACTGGTTGCTTTCTTAGCAATATTACTTTTCTTTGTCGACTGGTGTTCTTGGAAGATTGTTAGACTACCACTGGACTCCTTTTACTTGACACGCCCTTTTTTAATATCAGCAGTTTTATCAGCACTTGCTGGATTTCTTTTTGCTCCACTCGCTGATAGCCTGAAGATCCACCACTTCCGGAGGAGAGGAAAGTCTGTTTCTCCGTCAAGTAGAAAGCCAACCCCAGCAATGGGAGGATTATTCTTTGTTCCTGTTGGTATTTTTGTTGCAAAAAGCGAGGTTGGTTCCAACTCGAATGGAATTAATGGAGCAGCTATGATTACCCTCATATTTGCGATGGTTGGGTTGCTTGACGATATTTCGAGTCTTGCGTCAGATGGCAGTCATAAAATACCGCAATGGATAAGGTTCTTGGTTCAAGTGAGTTATTCTTTTCCAAAGCGTCATGTGAAAATATGCCATCCTTTCCTATTACACTGAATTGAACTTTCTTACTATCTTGTGTATTTTGCAGATTGTTGCTGGCATTTACTTCTCTATCTGGTTGGGTTCTGCAGATATTTCAACACCATATAGCATGTAAGCATTTGTGTAACTTATATATGCCTTACTTCATCTACAGTTTGATTGATTCCAGTTTATCAATGAAGGAAATTTCTGGTTCCTCTGCCTCCTCCTTTTGGCCTTGCACTCATTGGAAAAGTATATATGGTTCTGGCTGCTACATGTTCACTTTCCATGGGGCCGGCAGTAACACTGGTTGATGGTCTTGATGGTTTGGCTGGTGGTATTGCTGCGTTAGCACTCATAGGACTATCTGTTGCAGCTCTCCCGATTTGCTCTGGTAAATTCTTCAGCTTCCTAAGCTATTCAGAGTTTATCAATTCAAATTTTATTTTTTTATAGCATAGTAGCTTCTCCTCATGAAATATGATGGATCGTAGCTTTACTTTGTCCAAAGATTTTTAAGGTCCTGTATTCCATCAACAAAAAAACGGTTACATTTAGCCTCCTAGCAGACTGCACCTCTGTGCCTTGTCATTCGCATGCCTAATATTAGTAGGTGCACCAAAAAATCAAGATTAGAAATAGTCCTGTTTTGTCAAGCTGTTATACAATTTTTTAGATTTTCCTTGCACAAAAGGGTCCTGTGGATGGGAACTATCTTTTTGAGTTTCTAGTTGATCATGTGATGATAGTTTTTCAAAGTTGTAACATAGTCGATTTTCATGATTTCTGCAGAATTCAGTGTTTTTGGAGCATCAATGTCAGGTGCTTGCATTGGCTTTCTTTTTCACAACAGATATAGGGCCTCAGTAGTTATGAGCCGGGTTGGTTCTTTTGCACTCGGAGGAGCAGTTGCCACAATTGCATCATGCAGTGGAATGTTTCTTCCAATGTTAATAGCATGCAGTCTCTTCTTTATTGAGCTACTGTTTGCAATATTGCAGGTGTGTCATTCTGTTGACTACTTCACTTCAATGGTTGCAATTCTAAAAGTGCTCATGCTTCATTATGCTGCGTTTGCATCTGTCTATTTGTTGATCGCTACTCTGAAGTCTGGACCAACTAGTTTGTGTCATCCTCCACATCTTTGTGGACCGTAACCCAGAACACTTGTTCATTGCGTGATGATAATGGAATTTAAAGTATTTCCCAAGGATGTGATTAAAGTCCTTTTAGTATCGTTTCTACAACAGTGAGCAGCATAACTTAAGACAAACATAACTAATCTGGCTTTTTCATTTTGCATATTTCTGCTCCTTCTTCCTATTTCCTGCTGAAAGCTAAAGCTATTGTTTCTGTCACATCTCCGTTGTTATATGTGCATTCTGATAGGTTTGCATCACCGGGTCTTATATGTAGGATTATAGCATACCATCATGCAATGTTCGAGTTATGTTTGTGGTCTACTAGCATTTGTTTCATTTGCTTGCACTTTTGTAGGGTCATGACCTTCTCAGTTCAGAACATAACCATATGGTCTAATTTCTTTTGGTGCTCAGGTTCCTTTTCATATGGCTACAAATTCTTTCCGCGGAACAAGCAGACATCCCCTGAAAATCCGTCCCTTGCATTACTACCTCAGATTGTTAGGCATAAAGGAACCTTATATTGTGGCTGGTGCATACATGATATCATGCTTCTTAACTCTGTTGGCAGGATACCTTGGCCTTGTTTCAGCATAGATGAGTACACCATTCTTTCATTGCTTTCTTTTTCAGTTGTGGTACATGATATATTTCAGGCAGCCGTAACTGCTTCATTTTTGCCGGATCTGTGTTTCAGTGATATGAAATTAACAGATATAGAGGAACTGTAGAGTGAGGCCTGTAGAATTCCTCAAAAAGGGACCGTGCAGTATACTCCGCCTGTACCGTGAGCTGTTCGTATTTGAATGTAATTTGTTTGTGAGCAAGATGAGTAGTGTTTCAAAATTGAAAATGTATCTACTCAGGCAAGTCTTCCTTTTGCAATGGATCAGTTAGCCTTGCTTGCAAGAAGGAAGTTTAGATGAACTTTAGCCATGGTTAAAGTTTTTTATCCTGTCTAACCCATGCTATTGGTTCCTGAGTCCTGACAGCGCAATTACACGGGGATGGGCCGGTTGATAGGTCCAAAGTACCGGGAATCATTGTTGATCTTGCTCCCAGTCAGTGCACGTTTAATCGCTCTTTAATATTATACTTTATTATTAGGTATAGATATAGATTCTTATGTTTCAATAGATAACAATGCTGTCATCCATTCTCAACAAAAAAATGCTGTTTTATTATTTATTCTTCGGGGGTTTTATTTTGAGTCGAGCAGCCACCGTCCCTACTTGCAGATGGGATGCGATGTTGCGATATTGCGACTTATCAGTTTTTTTTTCTCTTTTCTTCTTGCGAGAAAGCTTCTTTGTGCCTTCTGTGAGCAGCAACCACACCTTGTTTAAGGCTGCTAAGAGTGGTGTTTTTGCCCCCAACCACACCTTGTTTAAGGCTGCTAAGAGTTGGCAAGTACAGCAAGCTACCTACAGGTTCAGTTCTATTCAGGAAAAGGCAGATGCTTGATCTTAAAATGAAAAAAAAACTAGCGGTATCTGATTGATTTCAAAATGAATGTCTATTTTGACGACTTAGCTCTTCTATTTGTCAAATTTTGTCCATGAATTCCAATATCCTCTTAATGGTACCTCAGCTATTGATAGTGTTCAATTTTGACCCCAAGATCCACTTTTAGTGTGGTTTCTGTCGGTGTTTCAAACAAACACCAACTAGTAAATTTATATTTGTTGCGCGTTAGGCCTGGATGATGTGCTAAATGACACAAGGTTTATACTAGTTCGGACCGAATGTTCCTACGTCCAGTCTGCTGTTACTCGTGTTATTAGCACTAAAAAAGGTTCGTAGTAGGGGTACAAATGGTTGAGAGAGGTACAGGTCCCAAGTCTCTGATGGAAGGGTCAAAAGGGTGCCAAGAGTTCGGTTGCTGCTTGGTTGTGTGTTGTGTGATGTGTTGTGTGTAATTGATCCGTCCCTTTAGCGGGGTGCCCTGCTCCCCCTTTTATAGACAAGGGGGAGCAGGGATTACAGATGGAAAAAAGAGGAAAACACTAGAGGGCAGAGAAAGTTCTTCGAAGGAGCGGGGTCTTCCTTTCCCTCTGTGCCTGCCCTGCTGACATGACAGACCATGTTAGGGATGTGTTCGCTGATCTTCATAGGGCCGTGCTCTGGCCTCATTCAGCAAGTGGGTACGTCCCCATCCTACACCGGCGGACGGTGCGGCGTGCCAAGGAGCTGAGCTATGATCCTACGGGGAGTAGACGGGGAAGTGACCATACGTCCATCACTGTAGATGATGTGAGTTCTTTCTTGGATTGTAGTGGTTGTCGTATGCTTGTGTCAGGATCCGCGTCCGAGGGCTGATGGCGGCGCCCACAACACTGTAACACCAAAGTTGGCGTCTACAACACTGTTCGGGCCCTGCCACGCCTGGAAGGGCTTAACGCGCACGTCCCGTCGTATCCTGACGGTACTTTTCTGCATGTGTGCAGGGTATGGTCCTCGGTACTGCGGTTGACTCGAATGTCCTGTCTTACCTCGTGCTCGTCATCATGAAGGAGCAGGGCGCAATCGTTAGGTGAGGCGGAGCCAGCCCTCGGTCGTCGGGCGAGACGGAGCCAGCCCTCAGTCGTCGGGCGAGGCGGAGCCAGCCCTCAGCTGTCGGGCGAGGCGGAGTCTAGCCCTCGGTCGTGGAGCGAGGCGGAGCCTGCCCTTGGACGTCGGGCGAGGCGGAGTCTAGCCCTCGGTCGTCGGGCGAGGCGGAGCCAGCCCTCAGACGTCGAGCGAGGTGGAGCCAGTCCTCAGCCGTCGGACGAGGCGGAGTCTAGCCGTCGGGGGTCGGGCGAGGCGGAACCAATCTTCCGCCATTCGGGCAAGAAGTGTAGTAGCGTTCTTGTCTGACCGGAAGCATCAACGTTCGATAGTTATTAGCTCCACCTTGTTGGGTACCCCGGTATTAGGTCCCCGACAGTAGCCCCTGAGCCCTCGGGTGATTCGGATAGAATCGCCCGGGGGGAATTTCGATTTGCTAGAGGGTGCGCGCGAGCGCACCCGTAGGGTGTAGCCCCCGATCCCCCAGGTGATTCAGATAGAATCGCCCGGGGGGTATTTTGGACCCTTCGTGGGTATGACTATGAGATTTGGTGTTTTGACAACCAGATAGCTTAAAGGAAACCTTGGTATCCCGTTCGCGGGGATTCGTCCAGGGTCAGCCCGGTTGAGACTTGTTTGTGGATCGAGACTCCTTTGAGGCTAGTGCACCTGAGTTTTGGCCGTTCACGGGCCCATCCCTTGTCGGGACGACCGTCGAAACTGTTGGGCCAGCCCTCAAACTCCTAGGCCCAGACGGGCCAAAGAAATGCTTTTTGACCCGTATCCCCTCTGTGAGAAAAGAGTCCTGGTCTGCTCGAGAAGGTGAAACGTCCGACGCGATTTTGGTGGGAAAGGATAGGGATCGCGGGCGCATATCCCGCGACGTGACGCGGTGGTGTATCGTGGCAGGCTTGGACACCTAGGCGGGCGGTTACTCTTCTCGCATCCGTCGCCCCTATAAAACCAAGGGGTTCGCCCCAAGGGTTCCATACTTTGTCTCCTCGCCTTCGCATCCGCAACCTCCGCCACCAATCGCCTGAGCCTTCCGCACCGCATCGCAGCTGCCGTTAAGCTCGCATCCGTATCGCAGCCGTCGTCAAGCTCGCAGCCACCCCCTCCTAATTGTTCAATGGAGCCATGGTGCAGATTTGATATCACCCCTCAGCGCCTGGAGGGCCTCGTTCGTCGTGACCTCCTTTGCCCGCTGATCGCCGCCGAGGAGTGGCGGCTGCCCAGTAATGAGGACGAGCCGTCGCCGCCCGAAGGGTATGTCTTGTCCTTCGCTCACTTCCACGAGCGGGGATTCGCCATACCTGCCCACAAGTTCCTTCGCGGGCTGTTGGATTACTACAAGGTGGAGTTGCAGCACCTTACCCCCAATGGGGTGCAGCACATTGCAGAGTTCGTCGCCCTGTGTGAGGGATTTCTGGGGATTAGTCCCCACTTTGACCTGTGGCGGTATCTCTTCGCCGTCAACCTTCTGAAGAAGCGGGTCAGGAAGCAAGAGCTGAGCGTGCTGATGGGATGCGCCGGCATTCATCTCCGCAACAACCGGGTGAATGAATACCCATCGATGCGTCTGTCGACCTCCAACAAGGGGTGACATTCGCATTGGTTTTATGTCAAGGACGACGTCGCCGCCCCCTTGCCAGTGTTCTCCAGGCGCATGATCTAAGAGGTCCCGAGGTCGTGGAAGTGGGGTGTCCCGGACAAAGACAAGAAGAAGATCAAGGACCATCTCGCCGCCCTCCAAATCCTAAAGGAGAGGTGCGTGAAGGGATCGGGGATCATCGGCGCCGATCATACACGGAGGGTGGCGCCGCTGATGAGCCGCGCGCTTCCCCTGTACCTGATGGTGCCCGAGGCATCGCTCGAGGGGACGGTGCTTGTCGACGAAGCGCTCCCCCCCACCGAAGTGGCGCAGCGCATCAATGAGGCGATGGAGCCTTCGAAGGACAGCACTGGCGTTGTCCTTGATTTCGTGTATCCGGTGCCAGGGCATCCCCCAGTGCGGCCAAAATCGGGGTTCATCGATTTTGTAAGTCCTCTTTCCTCGTGCCTCCTTTTTACTTGAATTCCTAGCCCCTTGATGCTGACCTCGGGATAGCGGGACCAGCCGAAGAGACTCGTGTTCGTGGATAGCCCGGCTCCGCTGCCGAAGGATCGGCTCGTGGCAACGGTGAATCACACCGCAACCGAGTGGGATAGGAAGACGAAGGAGCTCAAAAGGAAGAAGATGCTACAGAAGTAGCAGGCACGGGAGCGAGGAGAGGAGACAGACAGTGACAACGACGAGGAGGAGGAGGAGTTTGACGAGGTAGTTGCCGATGTGGAGTGGGATGTCCTGGAGGGCGAGGATACGCTGACAGGTACCCCCTCGTCCACGTAGGGACCCTTCCCGTTCCATGCGGGAGGAAGTGAGTCCGTGCGGCCGGCGGAGACGGGCCAAACCATCGTCCCGTCCTCAG